TCCAACAACCATCTCCAGCAAAATATGATTGTCTACTTAGCCTTAATGAATGTTTCCCCCCAAATTGAGAAAGATTGACTTGTACATAATTTAAATAGCTTTGAAATGTTGCCAGATTTCAAAATTGCTCTATTATTGAAAATTTCAGAAAATACAGAGAGTTATAGACAATGAAAGTTACTCACTTTCATCATTCAGAGATAACTATACATATCTAATATATATCATTTAAGATATTTCATATATCAGTATAAAGATACCAAGAGAGATAACACAGGTATGGAGAATAACACAGCATGTTGTTTTGAATCTGCATTTTAAATGTCTTTTAAAATGTCCAAAACTTAAAATTTAATACATACTCAGTGTTATAACTGAAAGAAAATATAAGTTTTAAGGAAAAGGTAATACATCTTTTGTCATTTTAGCTCCACCTCTCCCCTAAATAGGCTGGTGTTCACACTTGCACAACTTTGAGCTCACATAAGCATATGTACAATTGTATAAACATACAGATTACTGTTTTTGTAACTGTTCAGTTTATAAACATTTTCAACATATATTTTTACCTGATTTTTTTATTTTAAGAATTCTTAAAGGATAAGATACATAGATGTCACTAATTTTATACTGTATGTAAAAATTTAGACACACACACGCATACACACTCATTAACTGATGGCCATTAAAGAAGATTCCAGATGGGGGTTATTAAAATGTGCAGCATTAAACTTCTTGTAAATATATACTTAAGAATGCACTTTTTTCTTTAAGGTAGATCCTAGGAGATGGGTGTCTGGATAAAGCATTTCATACATTCTTTGTTTATTTTAGTAAATACTGCCAGATTATTTCCCATTTTAAAAGGATTTTATATTTTCGAGTTATGCACGAAACTATTGCCCCAGTCTCATAGGTTAGAGTACTTTAATATTTTCAGTCTGATAGGTGAATAAACATTTCTGTGTCTACTAGTAGGGTTGAAAATGTTTCTTTTGTGTGTGGTTTACTTAGTTGTTCTCTTCTGGAAATTATTTTTCAATAATTTGTCATTTTCTCTAATTATTTGTTTTTGTTACTCCTATTTAGATCAAATTATAGGTGTTAGATATTTTAGGGACATAGTAAATTTCATCACTTTATTTTTGTGTCATTATGTTTATTTTCTTTTTCCATCCATAAAGGCCCAATTTCTATATTGTTAAATTTGCAATTTTAACTAAGAAAAGCTATATAATCTTTTTCCTTTCCTAGTCCCAAAGTATAAAGATTCTCAATACTTTTATTTTTTGTCTTCCTGCTCTTTGGAGTTACTGTTGTAAAAGTATTTTAAATCTATGTTATTTTAAAGTAACCCCATATTAGTTATTTTAAAAATACTATATGCCAATAAATTTTATTTACATTTACCATTATGAACTGTTTTGTACTCCTCTTTGTATTCAGTATTGTTCTAACTAAAATTCTTTTTTTTATTTTGAGAGATATTTTATTATAGTATATCATTATAATTGTTCTATTTTATTATGAGGTATTGTCATTAATCCTTTACTGTGCTTAATTCTTAAATTTTTTTTACATTTTTAAAATTTTATTATATTAATAACGTACATTACATCATTAGTTTTTGATGTAGTGTTCCATGATTCATTGTTTGCGTATAACACCCAGTACTCCATTCAGTACGTGCCCTCTTTAATACCCATCACCAGGCTAACCCCTCCCCCCAACTCCCTCCCCTCTAGAACCCTCAGTTTGTTTCTCAGAGTCCATAGTCTCTCATGGTTCTTCTCCCCATCCGATTCCCCCCCTTCATTTTTCCCTTCCTACTATCTTCTTCTTTTTTTTTAACATATAATGTATTATTTGTTTCAGAGGTACAGATCTGTGATTCAACAGTCTTACACAATTCACAGTGCTCACCATAGCACATACTCTCCCCAATGTCTATCACCCAGCCACCCCATCCTTCCCACCCCCCATCACTCCAGCAACCCTCAGTTTGTTTCCTGAGATTAAAAATTCCTCATATCAGTGAGATCATATGATACACATCTGTCTCTGATTGACTTATTTCACTCAGCATAATACCCTCCAGTTCCATCAACGTCATTGCAAATGGCAAGATTTCATTCCTTTTGATGGCTGCATAATATTCCACTGTATATATACACCACATCTTCTTTATCCATTCATCTGTCGATGGACATTTGGCTCTTTCCATAGTTTGGTATTGTGGACATTGCTGCTATAAACATCGGGGCACATGTACCCCTTTGGATCCCTACATTTGTATCTTTGGGGTAAATACCCAGTAGTGCAAATGCTGGGTCGTAGGGCAGCTCTATTTTCAACTTTTTGAGGAATTTGTTTCACATGATGCCAAAAATTAACTTGTTGCTTGTTTTTCCTCATTCCATATTCCTATTTTAAGTAAATGTAGAATTCTAGTTTGAAAGTTATTTTTTTCTGAGCACTTTGAAAATGACCATAGTTATAGAACAGAATGGAAATATAAATATTAATAATTTAAATAATTCATTTATATAGTAATTCAGTTTTACAATAATGTTTACATATATAGAGTATGTAAAGGATATTGGAAATGTAATACTTTCCTAATAATATTAGGGGGTTTGATGATATCATTAATGCATCAAGAAAGAAAGCCTTAAGAATATTATTCAAAGTCATGGAGGACTTCTGCTTTCATAATGGTTTATTAAATAATACAAACTTAAGTCTTATCCTAAATACAATTAGAAAATCTGGAAAAATATATGTAGAAAATATCTGGCTGAATTTACTGATCGCTAACAAGATGATGAAGGAGGACCTGGAGGAGAAAGATAGAGTACACCAAAACCTGAGTAGGAATACAAAGTACAAATATATATATATCTAGGTTTTGTATTAATTCCTTCATTTCTAAGACTCACCTCTTCCCTATTCTGGAAAATTTGGTGCAATTATCACTGATGTGATAATTACTCCTCTCCCATTATTTTTGGTTTCTTCTGGAAATCCTAGTAGATATATGCTGAATGCTCTCCATTTATCTTCTATATCTCTTAAAGTCTTATTTTAAATTCCTTCTATATTTTGTTTTATTCTGAATGTTTTTCTCATGTTTTATCCATTTTGTGAATTATTTCTTAAGTTTTAATTAATGTGTCCATTGAGTTTTTTATAACTGTTTTTTTACTTATAAAAGTTTAATTTTGTTATTTTGCAAAATGCAAATACAATATGATCTAATATATTAATTGTATATAGCTTCTTTTAGGATGTTCTTTTTTTTTTTTAGTTCTTTGTTGAGTTACCCTCATAGGGGTTTTGTCACTTGTGAGGCTTGTAATTTTTTATTGTGATTTTGTTATTAATAGGGATTGCTCCCTATGTGAGTTCCTTTTATCCTCAGTTCATACATAAGGTTTTAAATTTGCACTTTCCTGGGGATGCCTGGGTGGCTCGGTCGGTTGGGCATCTGCCTTCGGTTGGGGTCGTGGTCCCGGGGTTTGGAGTCCTGGGATCAAGTCCCGCGTCGGGCTCCTTGCTCAGCGGGGAGCCTGCTTCTCTCTCTGCCTGCCACTCCCTTTGCTTGTGCTCTCTCTCCCCACCCTCTCTCCGACAAATAGATGGATAAAAATCTTTAAAAAAAGAAAAAGAATTTGCACTTTCCTGGATCCTAGGTGTTTTACAAGTTGTGTACCAGACTGTACGGTAATTCTTAAGCTTTGAGTCCTGTACTATGTGTAAATGTATACTCTTCACCTACACAAGTTATAGACCTAGGATCCTGATATTGTGACAACTGTACCCAGTTCCCTAGCTAGACTAGTGGGATGAGTTTTTGTTGCCTCCATTTCACATACAGGTGATCCTCCAAGGTTCTAGGATTTAGGCATGAGAGCTCAATTCCAGTTCCTCGCTTTGAGTGGTCCTGGGTCTCATCTCCTATTCCCACATGTATGATGAACCCCGGAACTCAACCCCTTAGGCCTTTATCCTAGTTTGATATCGCCGTGAACCATTTCAGCTTCAGTGACTGTTTAAAATTCCTCTTTATTTCTGGACTTGTGGATTCAAGCTCAGCTATCCATTCATCTAAAAAGAAAACAATTTAGTCTTTTTATAGATTTGAAATGGAAGAGCGGAGGTCCTCTTATATCATCTTAGCCATATAGACCTGATGTTTTCCCTAAGAAACTTCTCAATTTCATAGATATATATCATCTATGATATATATTTTTCCCCAGGCAAACATGAATATAGATCCTCTATGTAGCTATATATATTCACATTATATCCTAATAATTTACAATACATATTCTAGTGTAACATTTAGGAGATGCTAAATATTTATTTTTTACATATTAAATTAGGAGACCCTGTGTGTGTGTGTATACACAAGCATATATATGCTTGTATTTTATATACTGCATAACACTATATTCATTTGCATTATTACTACCAAATATTTATTGAATGGCTACTATGTTCCAAGCATTATTCTAGGTACTTAAAATGAATCAGTGGATAAAACAGAAGATCTATTCTTATAAGTTATTTCTTTCATGCTAGTGAGAAAATGGAAAACTTTCTTGCTTTGTGAAGGTAACGTTGGACAGAAGTATGACATCCGTGCAAGATTGTTTAGATCCCCTTCTTTCACAGACTTGAAGTTTGACCTGCCATCATCCCTTTTGCAGACTCTTCCAGACTGTTTCTATCACCATCACCAGTATTTTTTTTTTAATTTATTTATTTTTCAACAGAGAGAGAGACAGCGAGACAGGGAACACAAGCAGGTGGAGTGGGAGAGAGGAAGGCTTCCTGCTGAGTAGGGAGCCCAATGTGGGACTCGATCCCAGGACCCTGGGATCATGACCTGAGTCGAAGGCAGGCCTTAACGATTGAGAGACCCAGGCTCCCCATCACTGGTATTTTTATGTTGTTGAGTGATAATGAAGTTGAAGTTACCTCCGTATTTTTTACAGCTTCGACAATGGAGTACCTTTGGAACCCTGGAAGTTGCAGCTCAGACCAAATCAGAAACAAAGGAGCACTCGGTGATCACAGAAGAAGATTGTGAAATTCTTAAAATCCCTGCAAAGGATTATGCAAGGTTAAAATCGGTATGACCATATCTAATCTATATATTAACACAATATGTGTGTAAATTCAAGCTAAGTTTTGCCTCTAGACAGATGTCCGTATCTTTGTAATTTTTAAATATAACTTGGAGTCATAAAAATGTGGTTTATTTGATGAACATTATTTAAGCTTCTGATGATGATGGGTAGTTGAAGTGGAAAGAAAGGTCTCTATGGATATAGTTTATGTATATTTTTAGCACTTTGGGTTTTTCATGAATTTCAAATCCATTCATTTATACATTCATTTATTCATGTATTCACTCAACAAACATAAGTTTTGGGTGTCAAAGGCATGTCATGTGTTAGGGATATCAGATAATCATACAGAGAGATCTCTAAATCTGTACAGTCCACCTGAGGAAAAAAAATACTTGGGAGTGACTGATACGCTATTTCATTGTTTTAATAGATATTAAAAACCCAGAGTTGCATGAATAGGTGATCACAACTTAATTCTGACCCCCTAATTCTGCTACATTAAGATAACTTATTTACTTCAAGTTTACCAATTTATTCTCATTAAATCAACTCCAAAATTTTCCCTCTTTTTGATTTCTCCCCCCCAGTGACAGAGAAAGTTTTTATAAATGACTGCACTGAAAGACCCCCATTGTCTTGCTCTGACAGCTTTTCTTGATAGGATCTAAGTCTGGTGCAGGGGCAACAGGGCACGGGCATCAGCTCCAGTTGTGTGCTCAGGTTGGAGGGAGATGAGGAGACAACCATCTTTTTGATTTATCTCTCTAATAATAGTTAGGGTTTCTTTTGATACAATGGTCTCAATATCAGTGGAACAGATGACTTTCTCAGAATTCAACTTCCTTCCAAATCCCTGATTTTAGAGTGGCTAGCTTAAAAAAAATTGTTTTGTATGTTTTATTTTCAAAATATAAGTATCAATGATTCAGTATTATTAAGTACAACTTTTGAGATTAGTCTTGACTATGACAGGATTTCTTAAAAATGTTAGAACATTTATAGAAGTCTAAAAATATTATGAAAGGTGGGAAAATATAATTTTAGTAGAAAATCTGAAGACTAACATTTCAATATGCGTACGTGATCATAGAATGATGCTCCTACAAAATTCAAATGTATTTTACACAATTTACGCTCATGTAACTTTTATTTTTCTGTTACTGCCATTTATCTATCTCTGCTATGCATTTCCCCTTCTTTTTTAATGACTTTTTTCAGGAAAAAATAAAACTTGAAAATAAAGAAAAGGTGAAATTAATTCGTAAATGTCCATATTATGAAGAGTGGCCCACTTTATCCATATATGAGCTAGTTGCACTCATTAAATGGAAAAAATTTCCTCCAGGTCATGGTGAGTCTAATGCAATTTGGGATCATTTTCTTTACATAACATAGTATTGGAATTTGTAATTTTTCATCATTTTAATGTTTTATTTCTTCATATGAGTGTTTCTCTAACTTCTTAATGTATCCTTTTAATTGGACGTTTAGATTATTGCCTGTTTTTTATTAAAAAATAGTTCTGTATTGGCTCAAAGAGTGATCTCAGAACTGGCCTTACTTTCATATCTTTCTGTATTTCCTCATGGTCTTGCCCTTATTGCCCTACTCTGACAGTCAATGTAAGGACCAAAAGGAGAAATGCAGTGAGAAGTTACACTCATTTTTCCTGTTCTCCTGATTGAACACCTACTTAGGAAGCAAGTTTGCTTCTCTTTACTTGCAGTACACATTATCAGTGGAAAATATAGAGGAAAGGTGAGGCTGAGATAAGGGGTAGCAACAGTGAAGTTGCCAACATTTCCAATATTCGGCATGGCAGGGATGTGTGGATTTTCTGCTAACGTGTACACAAAAAGTGTAGGTGGCATTACGTCATTTTGTACAATTGTTTCTGTCTATGAGAACCCATTAAGTAAGAGGTGTCAGCTCTTATGGACTGAATGTTTGTGTCCCACAAAATTCATATATTGAAGCCCTAATCCCCAATGTGTTGCTATTTAGAAGTGGGACCTTTGAGAGGTGATTAAGTCACTAAAGTGGAGCCCTCATGAGTAGGATTAGTGCCTTTATAAGAAGAGACATGAGAGAGATGCTCTCTCTCTCTCTCTGCCATATGAGGATACAAGAAGGCAGCTTTCTGCAAACAGGAAAGAGGGATCTTACCAGACATTGAATCTGCTGGCACCTTGATGTTGGACTTCCCAGCATCCCAAACTGTGAAAAATAAACGCTTGTTGTCTGGACCATCTGGCCTATGATATTTGTTATGGCAGCCCAAACTGACTAAGACACCCACACAAGAGGAACTGTGGTAGGTGGGTCAGAGCAGCTTTAGATCTCCCTCAGTAAGGAATCCCTACTGCCCTACAAGAGAGAGTCACAAACAACAGAGAGAGGTTTGCAGCCTTGCCTGGCTTTTCTCTTAGTGAAACAGTGGATTATAATAGAAGAGGTAGTGTTTGAGAGAAATACTTGCATTTCAAGCCTACAGAGCCATAAATGTAGTGAGGGATATGTTGACAGGAAGAGAACATTTCTGAATTAAATGTAAAGTTAAAATTCTAAAAAGAATGAGTCTGAGTTGCAAAGTCCTTAATGTGACTGTTAATAAAAATATGGTGAAGAATAATCTGGCTAAGATATCCTTTGAGGGAGTCACTGTGTAATAGAAAAGTGAGGTGTAGCTTAGAACCAATTCAGAAGGTTCTTTTATTAGAAGAAAAGTAAATATCATTAGAGGCAAAGTTATGCTTCAAATACTGAGATTCTCTAATAAACTTGTTAAATTTGGTGAGATTATAGCCCTTTACTAAATTGGTTCCAAATTTCTTTCCAGTGCTTATTTTTATATTTTATTTATCACTTTTTAAAAATACAGTGTTTAATCCGTATTTAGCCAAATATATATATTTTTTCTTGCTTGCAAAAATTGAATTTAGATATATTTTTGTTCATGAAACATTTTTTCTAATGAGTTATAAATGCCATTTTTGGCCAGTAGTACATTTAAGAAAGCAAGTAGTAAACTGACTTAGGAAAAATTAGGAATTGAACTTTCCTAAATTCAGCATATTTATTGTATAGAAACATTTTTTTTTAAATATGGATGTTTTGCTTTATCATGGGTTCCTCCTTTTGTATCAGAAATATCACATTTTGGTCCACGCCTCATTTCCAGGGCTATTTTGTATAAAAAATAATGTCTCAGTCTTGCCTATCTATAAGGATGTTAATATTTTTTAGGTTATTAAAAAGGAGGAAAGGGGGCACCTGGGTGGCTCAGTCAGTTAAGCATTAGACTCTTGATTTCAGCTGAGGTCATGATCTCAGGGTCATGGGATTGAGCCCCATGTTGGGCTCCGTGCTCAGGGTGGAGTCTGGTTGTCCCTCTCCTCTGATCCTCTCCCTGCTTGTGCTCTCTCTCTCCGTCTCTCTCAAATAAATAAATAAAATCTTTAAAAAAATAAATAAAAAGGAGGAAAGAAACTATAATCAAAGATATTTTCAATTATGGGGGCGCCTGGGTGGCTCAGTCGTTAAGCGTCTGCCTTCGGCTCAGGTCGTGATCCCAGGGTCCTAGGACCGAGCGCCGCATGGGGCTCTCTGCTCAGTGGGGAGCCTGCTTCTCCCTCTCCCACTCCCCCTGCTTGTGTTCCCTCTCTCGCTGTGTCTCTCTCTGTCAAATGAATAAATAAAATCTTAAAAAAAAGGATATTTTCAATTATGTATGTGAGCCAAAAGAATATGGAATTTTAAAAAGGGGAATAATTATGAGCTTTTAATGTATGTGATTACTAATGATGACTATTATGTGTCTCAGTCTAAAATATCAACCGAAAATATTTAAATTTAGCATCAGAATTAAGGTAGTACTGACTTGCAGTTTCTTAGACTAATGCTGGGTTCAAGTTCTTTTTAGTACATGTCTTTAAAAATAATGGTGGAATCTATTGCATTGGACAATCTGTGATTATATTGAATAAGTCAAAAGTAGCATTATTTTCCCACTGATTCCCAAATAAAAATATGTGGTGCTTACATTTATACAGTTTTAAAAATCATTTGTCCTCCTTAGAGAAGAATGACAATTATAATAAATGATCTTCAAAGCCTCTTTCAGTCCTGAAATACTATGGTTCTTATAAATAAACATACCTGCGTGAAGAATAAGTTCTGTCAGCCTTATCAAATTTTCTTATATGGCAGTGACAAACTTGATACATCAAAGAGAAGCATTAGATGTAATACTTCTCGACTTTACTCAAGATTTATTTTGAATTGTAATCAGAAAATGTAGAGACTCTAGCTCAAATTATACTTTTACTATCGTGGTTTAAAATTAGCACCAGTGTGATTTACAAAGCATAATTATGTGTGTTTTGATCTTCTTTTAGGAATGTATATTGGATGAAGTTTTAGAGAGATTTAGTTAATTATTCAAAAGCTTGATAGAATTTAAGATTAATCCTTGGCAATCTATGAAATAAGTAAAGCTCATTACTGGCTCTATTTCCTTTGTTAACTTCCTAAGTCTCCTTACTTTCACTTCACATGCCAAAGGATCCTGACTGTAATAGATGTGTACAAAGCTGCAAGTAATTTGGGCATGTCCAGTTCATATCACACCAATTAAAATCTTCCCAGGTGTTGGGGCGCCTGGGTGGCTCAGTTGGTTAAGCGACTGCCTTCAGCTCAGGTGAGGATCCTGAAGTCCCGGGATCGAGTCCCACATCGGGCTTCCTGCTCAGCAGGGAGTCTGCTTCTCCCTCTGACCCTCTTCCCTCTCGTGCTTTCTATCTCTCATTCTCTCTCTCTCTCAAATAAATAAATAAAATCTTAAAAAAAAAATCTTCCCAGATGTTATTTTTTTCAAAGTATGAGTGGCTGGAAAAAGATAATCAGCAGCTTATCTCACTAATCAGCTTGTTTCTGTGGTTATTGTGTATAAGAAAAAAATGTTAACTTGGCATCAGTGAACTATTTATGTATATTTTATTGTTACCCTGTGTATATCATTATGCTCTGTCTTTTCCAGGCATGATATGACATAGCAAACAATAACTAGAGATACTTTAAAAAAAGTAGTAACCAATTTAGTTCTGAAAGATAAAATAAGCCAATATAAGAATAGTAAAAAAATATCTAGTCTTCCCAAACCAAAAGTGGAGAGTTTCAGACAGAATATGTACTTTGAACCTCTATCTAACATAAGGGTGAAGTTCTGGGCTCTAAATTCCAGTAATAGTTCCACTTCAGTCTCTTGCATATCAAATCACTCTGTAGGGTTTTAAACTCTTTAGCCCCAGTACACACTCTTGAACATGCAGAACCAGGTTTGTGCTTAGAGGTGCTATTGATCCTGATTTTTTTTTCCTCCATTCCTTTTTTATGGGTATCTTTTGTATCAACTGGATATTTTCTAATGTAATATATTAATTCACTTAATGATTTCATAATAGGCTTGTTTAGAGCAGTTTTAGGGTCACTGTAAAAGTGAGCAGAACATACAGAGATTTCACATATACCCCTGCCCCAGTTTTGCGTAACATTTCCCACTCTTTTTTTAAAGATTTTATTTATTTATGAGAGAGAGAGTGAGCATAAGGAGGGGGCAGGGGCAGAGGGAGAGGGAGAAGTAGACTCCCCGCAAGCAGGGAACCCGATGCTGGACTCAATCCCAGGACCCTGGGATCACGACCTGAGCTGAAGGCAGACACTTAACTGACTGAGCCACTCAGGTGCCCACCCATTTTCCACTATCGGTGTGCTCCATGAGACTGGTACATTTGTTACAAGTGATGAACCTATATTAAACCATCATTATCATTGAAACATCATCAGGCAAAGCCCATAGTTTACTTTAGGTCTCACTCCTGATGTTGGACATTCTCAGGGTTGGATGCATGTGTAATGATATTTAGGCACCATCACAGTATCATATAAAGTAATTTCACTGTCCTAAGAATCCTCTGCACTTCATACAATTCCTCCCCCATCCCTAACCACTGGCAACCATTTATCTTTTTGTTGTTTCTTTTTTTTAAATGGTTTTGCTATTTCCAGAGTCTCACAGAATTGGAATCATACAGTATGTAGCCTTTTTAGAATGTTCTCTTTCACTCAATAATATATATTTAAGGTTTCTCCATGTCTTTTCATGATTTAATAGCTCATTTCTTTTTAATGTTGAATAATATTCTCTTGTCTGGATGTACCAGTTTATTTATCCATCCACCTACTGAAGGACATTTTTGTTGCTTCCAGGTTTTGGCATTATAAATGAAGCTGTAATAAATATCCTTATGCAGATTTTTGTATGGACATAAGTTTTCAACTCCTTTGGGTAAA